TCGCCCGTGCGGAGCTGTCGTGGGCGCTGCCTGGAACGCTCTTGGTATCGTCTTGCGGGGTCTTCTGCTTCGTAAGCACCGCTCTAAGTCTCCTTCAAGTAAACTCATGCCCGTTGTCGACAGAATCGTGTCCTTAAGGTGGCGCAGATCTCTGAAAAGAAACTAAAAAGAAAAGACACAAATTTTTGCTTCCAAAGAAATAAAGAAAAAACACAATTTTTGGCAAGGGCCAGAGAAAGAGATGGAAGACGAGAGGCACAACATCGAAGTGGCGCTGGTGGACAAGGAACTCATGCACATTGTGTTTGGCTTCCTCCGCTTCACCGACCTTGCTTCCATCTCTGCCGTCTGCAGGTTACCCCCACCAATGCCAAATACAAAGAACAAAAATTGACTTTCTTTGTGTGTCGTAAAATGGCCATGGGCAAGGCGGTGGAGAGTGCTGGCCAGAGCGAGCGAAGTGACGCGCGTGTTGATTCGTGGCCGCGTCCTGTCCATTGGCACCGTTGGCCACGCCGGCCTCGGCTACTGCCTTCTCGACCCTGCCCCCATGTACCAACTCCCCCTTTAATTTAAAGCAGTGCTTGTGGTAGTTGACCGCGGGGAGGCGTCGGCGAGCAGGCGGTGGCGCATGATTTCGGCCCTGGCGTCGGAGACCATCGTGCACATCGCCACCACGCCCGAGAAATATGATCGTCACCACACACTCGCGGTCACTCGTTCAGGTTCGTGCGTGTGACCTCACCCCCAGTTTCACGTGATGTCAACGTTGCATGTGTGGTTGTGTCACGTCATGCGCGTGTCGTGTGTGTCGTGTGTGTCGTGTGTGTCGTGTGCGTGTGCAGGTGCGGTGTATGCGTTTGGTGATGCCACTGATGGCAAGCTGGGTCTGGGCGAAGGCCACACCACGGGCATCTCCTACACGCCGCAGATCGTCTCCGCCCTGCTGAGCGAGAAGATTATCAAGGTATAAGGGAAGCCGATCACTCAATGCTTCCGCTTGAACGCAACAGTGCCGTCCAGCAACCTACCAATCAACCGACGGCGTCCGCTCGCTCTATCAGGTGGGCGCGGCTGGCGCACACAGTGTCGCCCTATCCGATCGTGGAACGATCTTCTCCTGGGGTACGCAAGACCACAATGCTCCTGTCTCCGTGACACACACACACACACACTCACACACACACACACACACACACAATGCAAACTATTGTGCTCAATCAAATATCAGGCTACCAGGGCAATGGCCGCCTAGGCAATATGAACACAGGTGGTTGTTTGCTCGAACCCGCGGAGGTGCAGACCATCGGTTCCAACGACAGCGTGAAGCCGTTCATCGTCGATCTGTGGTGCGGCAGGGCCGTCACACTGTTGCTCGACAGTGAGGGCACGCTCTACTCCTTCGGCGTCGCCAGCAGGTATTGCCCCTCGTGTGCCGTGTGTTGTGTGTCGTGTGTCGTGGCACTGACAAATGTGGCAACCTCATCAGCGGCAGCTTGGGTCGCGAGTCGGCCGACTCTCGGTCAGGCAGGCCGCTGCCGCTGCAGTTTCCCGCGGGCGTCAAGATCAAGTCGGCCGCCATGGGCTATAACCACGGCCTTGCCATCACCACCCAAGGTACCTCCCCCGTTGAGCGCATTTGGGTGAATGTTGTCCTCCTTTTGTTGGCTGGCGCCGACCGGTTGGTTTGATGCCTCTCGCGGGTGCAGGTGAGGTGTACTCGTGGGGCTCGGGCGTACACGGTCGGCTGGGCCACGGCGACGAGCAAGACGCCAACGCGCCCAGGCTGATCAGCGCGCTGGCGTCGGCCAAGGCGACGCAGGTGGCGTGCGGGCCGGAGCACTCGCTGGTGCTCACAGAGGACAACACCCTCTATACCTTCGGCCGCGTGGTTGTACGCGTTGACACTTCCAGTCTTCTCCCGCCACCACACGCAACGGGTCTGTCCTGAGGAACTGACGTGTGTTGTGTGGGTCGTGCGTGTGCTGTGGGTGCATGTGTGCAGAAAGGGCAGCTGGGATATGTCGAGGGCGCCGTGGAGAGCGTGCCGTGGGTGGTCGAGGACGTGGCTGGCCTGGGCGTCATCAGTGCCATCTCTGCGGCTGCCGGGTTTCTTTCTTCTCATTTTTCGTGTGTGCGGTGCGGTGCGGTGCGCCGCGGGGCTAACTGAGACTGGCGGCTGCGCGCAGGCAATCGGCCGTGCTGTTCGAGAGTGGGCGCGTGATGGGTCTCGGCTGCGGTGAGCTCAAAAAAGAGAATTGGCTGGTGCCGGCGCAGCTGGTTGCCGGCGAGGACAGTGTCTTCCTGGTCTGCTGACCCGAACCATTTAATTGTGCCCTTTAAATATTTTCCGCGAAATTGTTGTATAAGATAAATTAATCCGAAATAAAAAAACAAAGCAAAGCAAAAAAATACCACAAGAGCCGAAGATGGAGACGGAGAGGGAGAAGCAGGAGGAAGGACTGGCGCTGCGCATCAAACACTGGGTGACGGCCCACTACCACCGCCACCAACCAGCAGATGCCGTCCGGACTCTCGTTGAGCTCCTCCGACTAGGCCATGAAGAAGAAGAAGGCATGGCAGAGGGGTGGCGACCGACCATCGAGCAGCTCTTCTGGTGGACCTTCGTAAGCCAAGGCCCGCACGCTGCCCTCGCCTTTCTCGACGGTGCTGCGGTGGTGACCGAAGCTCCAGCTCCGGCTGTGTTCGTTGTGGCGGCGAGCTGCCTGGTCGGCCACGACTCTATGCTCGGCGCAGCTGCTGCGCGGATGCCTGAGAACTTCTGGAAAAGGAAGTTGGTACTATCGAGGGCCAGCCGCGCACTCGAGCTGGCCTCCGACCCCGCCGCCGCCGCCGCCAGTTCGACGGCGATGATGGCCAAGGTCGCTGTTCTTCTGCTCCGCGGCGGTGACTTGCTGTTGGAGGCTCTGCAATGGCACAGCGTTGGAATTGGTACAAACAACTCCACCACGCCTCACCGACCTTGCTTTGCCCCCAAAATAAGTAACGTCGTGCGTGTGTGTGTGTCTTGCGTTAGAGGTAGTACATGACGAGGTGGAACAACTGGTGGAGGTGCTGTTCTCCCTCCGCGGACAGCAAGTCTGTGACCCCGACATGGTCTTGGGTATGGCGCTCACAACTTCAACTACAACTTCAACTTCAACTTCCCCAAAAACCAAAGAACACTCCACATGTCAACATAGTCATATCTGACCGCACCTCCCACATATGTGACACCATTACTAGCCGGACTGCAACTGTGCAAGTACATGCCAAAACGTGATCTGTATCAACAGGTACCAGGCGGCTCAACAGTTTTGTGTTGTGGGCATGTGGTGGTGGTAGTAGTGGTGGTCGTGGGCTCTCAGCATGATCAAGCAGGTAGTACTGGAGGAAATGCAAGCACTGCTGCAGCATCCAGAGGAATCCATTCGCCACGCAACAGCCAACCTTAACTTTACGCAGCTCCTCTCCAGCTCTGGTGGAGACGCGCTCAAGGCATGTCTTCCCTTCAGTTCTGTTGCCCCCCCCCCACCCAATGTTTTGTTCACAGGTGCGTGTGTGGCCGCACAAATGTGTTGCTGTACACCAGGCGCTGACGGAGCAGTACTCGCAAGAACGATCTGCTCGAGTGCGTGAAGCCATCATCTGCGCTCTGCTCACCCACTTCGGCCGAGGCCAGGAGGGCGCCCTTGAGCTCTTGCTCCTGGGCATACAGGTGCAATCCTATTCCAAGGGAGCCTGGTTTGTGTTGGAAGCCTGTTTCCAACACAACTCTCATGCACATGCACATCCTGCCCAACAGGACGAAGATGCAAGTGTGGCCCTGATGGCGGTGGACGGGCTCTCCTCTTGGGTTGAAGAGCCCGTCTGGCGGCGCCCCGTAACTCACTGCCTCCCACAGTACATGTCTTGCCCTCACTCCACATTGAGTCTTGTGTTGCTTTGCGTTATTGCATTTGTTTCACTGAGCTGTGATTACAATCATCTGACAACTGTTGGGACAGGCTTGTGGATGTACTGGTCAAACATATTGCCTTGCCGGACGTGAAGAGCCTGGTGGCCCTGTGTGTTGACTGTGTGGTGGTCCACCATCGCCAGCAGCAGGTATCAAGCAGTATTGCTGTGCTCCCAGTTGAGCTGCAGGAGCTCATCACCAAAGAGTTGGCCCGCAAACCAGGTGCACTCCTACTCCTTTTTGTGTGTCCTGTTTTGTTGTGTCGATTGCGTGTGCGTGTGCGTGTGCGTGTGCGTGTGCGTGTGCGTGTGCGTGTGCGTGTGCGTGTGCGTGTGCGTGTGCGTGTGCGTGTGCGTTTTGTGTGTTGTGTGGCCACATTGCAGATAACCACCACACAGTAAGTAGCAATGTCACTGATATGGAATGGATCTCTTTGTGCACAGGTCCAGTCAAGACCGCAAGCCAGCAGCATGTGCCTAGTACCATGCAGGTCCCCGACAGCGATGAGCCGGTCAGTGAGCAGCTGCGCAAGGCAAGTGCCAATCTCCTCGACATCCTCAGTCAATGCTTCGAAGACCTGGCAGTTGAAGTGCTGCGCGTGGTTCCGGCCATGGTGCGGTCAGACAGCCCTTGGCAGCTCCGGTACTTTTTATTCTTCCCCCTCCGCAACCACTTGGGTCACGGAGTCACTTGCCATGCGCTTGTACGCACGCACGCATCACCGCACACCGCACACACTGCACACGCACCACCGCACACGGCAGGGAGAGCGGTGTGTTTCTGATGGGGATTGTCGCTGAGAGCATGTACAAATTGTGGGAACCGAGCTCCATCAAGCAGCTGCTGAGACACTTCAACGCTGCAGCCATCCCGTCTCTCGCCGTTCCCCAGGTGTGCACATCCCCCACTCTCAATCTTGCCCCCAACTACCGTAGCCACCCACAAACACCTGCACTGAGTGGCATTGGCATTCTTTCCCTTGTGTTATTGTCGTGTGTCGTGTGTGTCGTGGTGTGCTGTTGACTTCGTCAGCCAAAGCTTCGCGAGATTGCCTGCTGGACAGTCTCTCGGTTTGCCAGGTCCGTGTTGAACACCGACGAGGCCAGAAGAGGCAGCGACATCGACGGTCGGGCAGTGGTCGACTCTCTGCTCGAGATGATGCGCACTGACCCGAAGGTGCACGCTGCCGTGATGACTGCGCTGGCCAACCTGGTGGAGCAGGGCCTGTTCCATCAGATGCCCGAGCAAGGCCGCGCCCTGCTGGAAAACATCATCACACTTGGCCGCAACCCATCGGTGCGCGATCAAATGTCGCACTTGTGTGTGTGTGCGTGTGGTGCGTGCTGGCACAGTGACGTTGCCAATAAGTGCCGTGTTGTGTGTTGTGTGTTGTGTGTTGTGTGTTGTGTGTTGTGTGTTGTGTGTTGTGTGTTGTGTGTTGTGTGTTTGCTGTGCTAACAAGTCTTCATTCACAGGGGCACCTTCTTGACCTGATCAGCACGTGCTTTGAAAGCCCCGACTTCACCAGCATCGGTACCCAGACATGATCCGTGCCTTGTGTTGTGACCCTCGATTGTCGCACGCACTCACGCACACCCACAGTTGACGTTGAGTTGGAGCAGCTTCTTGTGCCACTTCTTCTCGACGCTGTCGAACGCGCTACCCTTGATCTCGATCTTTCGAACAAGTCTACCGTGGAGTATCTCGACATCGCTCTGTCTGCTGTGGCCAATCTCGTTCCCTCCAGTACGCACCACGCACCACGCAACACGCAACACGCACCACGCACCACGCAACACGCACCACGCAACACGCACCACGCACCACGCAACACGCACCACGCAACACGCACCACGCACCACGCAACACGCAACACGCACCACGCACCACGCAACACGCAACACGCACCACGCACCACGCAACACGCACCACGCACCACGCACCACGCACCACGCACCACGCACCACGCACCACGCACCACGCAACACGCAACACGCACCACGCAACACGCACCACGCAAAACGCACCACGCAACACGCAACACGACAATACCAAAAAAACGCAACAGTGAAGGACAGATTCAAGCCGTTCGTGGAGCGGGTCGCCGGCCAGATCGAGCGTGTTCGCGCCCACCAGGCGACCGGGGCGGGAGAGGCTGAAAATCAGCGGCAGCTGGCCGGGGCGTGCACGGACCTGTGCTCCCGGCTGTTCGAGGAAGGGTGCGACCTGTCGCGCTTCATCTCACCTGCGCGGCTGGTGGCCATCGCCGACCTGCCTTCTCAGGTACTTCCGCGCGTGATCTTTGCCATGTGCGCGTGCGTGTATGTGCGTGTGCGTGTGCGGTGGTGCGGTGGCGTGTGCGTGTGCGTGTGCGGACGAGTACCTCAACAAATGATCATATAAAGGAAGGGTTTGCCTTGCTGGGCGAGCTGGCCAAGCTCGGGCCCGACCCGCTCAAGGACAGCCTGCCGCACATCGAAGCCACTCTGGCGGCCCTTTTTGCGGAACGAAGGCACTGTAGAGGTGGGGATCCCGTGCTTCACAATGCCGAATGGGCAGCTGGTACGCACCACACCGTCGCCTGATTAGTTTTGATGACTTTTTGCCTCACCGACCACCAACATGACAATACGTCTGCGCCACACACGACACACGACACACACGACACACACGACACACACGACACACACGACACACGACACACACGACACACACGACACACACGACACACACGACACACACGACACACACGACACACACGACACACACGACACACACGACACACACGACACACACGACACACACGACACAAATTGCAGGGCAACTGGCAAGACACATGGCCACGGGATTGCAGCTGTCGTGGGTAAACAACTTCCTCACACTGTGCCGCTCCTTCGGCACCCACAACCGGGCCGCGACGCTGCTCCAGCTGGGCCTGCACCACGCGCACGTGCTGCCGGCGTCCCTGGTGCGCGACGCCCTACTGGCCTGCCTGCACTGCTTCACGCCCGACCAAGAGCCCTGGGAGCAGAGCCGCGCGGTGATCGTGGTGGGCTTGCCCAACCTGGTCCTCCGGTGCCTGGCCCCCGCCGGCCTGGGACAGCGACTGAGCGAGGCCCAGGCGAGGGCGCTGCTGGTGTTCTTCGTGCGCCAGATCGACTGGCTGTGTTGCCACGCGCCCGAAGCTTCGCCGAGCTACGCTGGCGGCACGGTCAGCGATGAAGGTGATCGGGTCTTGCGCGAGCCGGACCGCAACACCGACGACGACGACGACGTCTACGTCGACGAGCAGAGGGTGTGCGACGCGCTCAACGCATTGGCGAGTGCGGAGCAGGTGGGAGCGTGGATCGATGAGGCTTATGCAACGGCTGACGACAGCGAGCGGGGAAGGTGGCGTGCGATTGTTGAGCACTACGTGGTGGGTGCGGGCGGCCGCCACTACACGCCGCTCCTCCTTGCCCTGCGGCGTAGCAAGTGACTTGCTGTCCGCCGCGATTTCAATGTATGTCGGCCGAAAGGTTTCAAGAAGTTGTTGAAGAAAGGTTTGGTTTCGCCCCGTTTGGCCCCTGATCTAACTGACCAGGCCCACCTCCAGTGCTACCTCTCTGAACCACACAGGAAATGTTAACGTTTCGAACTCCGTTAATAAAAATAACTTTCTTGGTCGTAGTGGCACGTGCGCCTCATTGGCTTTTGTGCGCCCGAAAACGTCAGTGCAATAAAAGCGATGACTGGGTTGGCTTTTAGTTAGTTCTCACCAACCCGCCTGCACACTCTTCCTGCCTAAGGTCGCGTACACAAAAACAAGAACACCATGAGCCAAACCGAAGCACTGCGCGAGCGCCTGGGCAACGAGTACTACTTTGTGTCGGTCGAGCCCGCCCCCGTGGCTGGACCCTTCCCGCAACGGGCCGCCGACAGTATGTCTCTCAGCCTCACCGCCGGGGGCGGTTATAGTGTGCGGTCGCCCATCAACTCGGGCAGTGGCGGCAGCTTCACCCTGGCCACCGACGGCGACAAGACGACGATCACCTTCGGCGGCGCGGCATGGACGGAGCGCGGCCTTGGGCGCGTGTCGGGCGACGACGCCAACGGTACACTGAAGCGGCGGATGGAGGAGGCCGAGGATTTCCTGCAGGCCCGGCTGTCGAAGGCGGCCGGTCCCTACGAGCTGGAGCTGCGCGGAGCGGAGAGCGGGCACCAGCTCGTGCTCAAGAGCCAGAGCGACGGCGCCGTGCTCATCTTCGCCCCCCGTGATTGAAAATAAGATGATCTATTCACATCTTTTTTGATTATTAATTTCCTCTATTTTAATAATCAAAAAAGAGTTTACTGTGCGCGAAGTAATTTGTTATTTTATTTTATTTTTGTTGTAATGAATTGGTACAGCTTCGTGTTTACAGGCCCTCTTCGTCACCGTCCTGCTCGATACTAGCGCTCCTCGTGTCTGCGCTGACCTGCGACCTGCGACACGATCAGAGGGTGCCGGCCCAGAGAACGAACGCGAAGAGAGGGGGGGGGGTTGAAGCAGAAAAGCGAAACGAAGACGGGCGCAGGTACCTTGACGCCATCATGGAGCTTCGCTTGGACTGGCGCGAGACTGTGCTCTTGCTCCATCCGTCATCGCCCGAACCGGAGATCATGTCCTTTGGCCGAAGAGGAATAGCTCACTCAGCGCGTGTCGTGCGTGTCGTTTGTGTCGTGCGTGTCGTTTGTGTCGTGTGTGTCGTGTGTGTCGTGTGTGTCGTGTGTGTCGTGTGTGCTGGGCGCAGTAGCTGTACCTTGACCTCGGCAATGGCATCTCGGAAGGGCTTGGTGTACATGATCTTGTGGATTTGCACCCAGAACCGGATGGTCTCCGTCGAGCAGAGGCAGCCGAACAGCACGAAGCCGTGGCAACTCAGATCAATGAGCATGAGGTACCACGAGCCGATGTTGATGCGCGTGTCCAGCCCACTAAAAAGATACACACGACACGACACGACACGACACACGACGGTCAGTGTCGATTTGCAATTGCACATATGGCCGCATGAAAAGAGAACGGCACCACTCCTGTCCGGTCGCCACGCTGCAACGAATCTGCGCTTCAACGGCGTCGGCGATGTCATCTGCAAGGTCACGCGACAAATAGGAGTTAAAAAAAAGCAACAAAAAAAGAGCGAAAGCGAAAGCGGAAACCTTCGATGACGCGCGTGTAGATACGGAAGGCCCAGGGGTAGGTAAGGATGAGCCAGTAGGCGACGATCAAGAGCAGTAGCCGGACCACCTGCTCGATGGTCTGGCCCGTCGTCGTGCCTCGCCGGATGCGGAATCGAATCTAGCCGCACACACTTGAGTCAATGAACAACTGCTGCATTCGCTGAGAAAGCAAACAAATGCAGGCGTACCTTGATCATGCGCCCGACCGCAGCCACCATCAGAATGCTTCCGACGATGAGGGTGATGCCGACTAGGCGGACACACGACACGCACGACACACGACACACGACACACGACACACGACACACGTCACACGCAGGACCGGTCAGAATTACGACGAAGTTGGGATGTGTGGGAGAGGGTACTGGGGAAGTAGAAGACGGTCCAGGCCCACCACTCGTTGCCCGCCACGAAGCAGTAGGGAATCGCCGGCAGCGCGCCGAAGGTCTGTTACCAAGGCAACAACGACACATTCACCACATTCCTTAGATGCCAGCCTATTACTGACCATTGCGGGCAAAGCGTGCGTACGGTGCCGGCAAGACAGATAATGACGGCGATGGTCGGAAGGCCCCACGCCACGATGTGGAAGAACAAATGGAACCGACGAATTCCCTGCACCGACCGGCGCAGGAAGATCATCTGTGTGCGGTGGTGCGTGTGCGGTGGTGTGTGTGCGTGTGCGTGTGCGGTGCGTTAGCGGATGTTGGAATGAAGCAGAGAGTACGGGGTGCGGGCGGGGCGCACCTCGAACACGTTGATGCACAACGCGAGCCACCAGAAATTGGCTGCGAGACCGAAGAAAAGGATGCCCATTCCTGCAACAGCGATTGACATTCAGAGAATGTATGGAACCGATGGTGTGTGCGGTGATGGGGCGTGGCGCGTACCTTGAAGCACGCACGGTACGCCGCCGCCATCGTGTTCGCGCGCATTGTCGAACGTGACCTCAACCGGAGGCGAGCCCTGAATCAAGTGATTGTGAGTTTCCATGCGCGTGTGTGCGTGTGTGTGCGGCGCCGACGTACGTGAGTGCAGACCATGCGAGTGGGTCCGCCCGAAACGAGTGGGAAGAACACCACCACGAAGCTCACCACCATCGAGCAACTGATCTACACGCGACCACACGGCACACACGACACACACGACACGCACGACACGCACGACACGCACGACACACACGACACACGACACACGACACACGACGCACGACACACGATCAGTGCCACGACCACGCGTGTCGGAGTTACAAAGATTGGGCACAGAGTGGAGTGGGTACGATGTAGATGAAGAGGGAGCCGGGGTAGCGTCGCTTGGCGGGCATGAGACACAGCGTGATCACCATGAAGGCGGCGAGGATGAACGAGCAGCCGCCGACGATCATCATGATGGTGATGCCGCCGGTCCACTCGGCGTCGCTCCACATCGGGTTCGGGCAGGGCATGACGCACATGTCCTGTCCGTTGTAGCCGTTCTCGGCGAACGACGACTCGCCGTCGTAGTTGTACTTGAGCGGATAGGGGCAGTCCGCCTGCGTGTACGGCACAACTGTCGACACACGACACACACACGACACACACGACACACACACACACGACGCACACACACACACACACGACACACATATGACACACACACACGACATACACGACACACACACATGACACACACACACGATGGTCGTTAAGGTCGCCATGAATGAATAGCTTCGGGGAGGTGGTACAGAGGTCGGACGGCACGGAGAGGCACTGGGTGCCGTCCGGAGGGAAGGCCGGCAATGGCGTGCCGGTGCTGTTGTCGATCTGATCGCAGTCCGGCAGCTGATCCTGTTTTCGAGTGCCGCGTGTGTCGTGTGCCGCGTGCCGTGAGTGCCGTGTCGGGTGAGTGCGTGCGTGCGGTGCGCCCAAGGTGAATGGTCTTCCGTACGAGGGTGCCCTGCGACTCAAAGAAGGCGGTGCAGCCCAGGACCACGGCTTCGCATACTGACCGGCAAGGCGGGTAGACTGGCGCACACGTGGGATCAATACCGTTTGATTGAGAAACGTGTCGTGGTGTCGTGTGTGTCGTGTGTCGTGTGTGTCGTGTGTGCCGCCGGTATACCGTCGAACTGAGGCACGGTGGAGAAGCGGCAGTGGAGGAAGTTGCCCATGCATGTCAACGCCAGCAGCGGATTCCGGCACACGGGCGGGAAGAACGCGCCCATTAACACCGTCTGATACCAAGATTGGCAAAAAATTAATCACGGGGAGGAAATAAAGATAATAATATCTATATATTATATCGACCAAGATATTAAAAATAATAAAATAGAAAATAGCACAAAGAATAAAGAAGAAACTAATGTAATACAGCACCCACCTTGTTGGCGGCAGCCTTGTCTGTGGCCTCGTACGACTGGCCACTGTGTGGAGAACAAGGAGAACACAAATTAGGAATATAAGGGAAAGTCAGTAGTCAGACCATTTACGCCAACGCGATCACGGGCACAAGGTGATGGATGGATTACAACACTTGAAAGAACGAAAGCTAAGAAAGAACGAAAGAGATGAAAGAACGAAAGCGAGGGGGGGCGTACATGAGGAGGACGTTGTTAGGGAGGGAGGGGGGCACGACGGCAGACATGACGTGGTCGCACTTGCCGGCGGTGGCCGGGGACCCCCGCCACGGGACGCAGGCGGCGGCGATGGCCCGCTCATCGCGACTGCCAGTCTGCTGCTCGGCGGAAATGAGGAGGGAGGAGGGAGAAATCATCATCATCGCCGCCAGCACCAGCCCGAAAAGAAGAAGAGGAGGAGCGGGAGAAGAGGTTCTCGTCTTCATCTTTTTCGGACGGCGACGAAAGGAAGATGCAAGAGTGAAGGTGCGGAAACAGGTGAAGCACGGCAAAGTGCAACCCGCGATGGCTAGGTTACGCACTTCACACTCCGGAATTGCACCACCTGGAACGGTGAAGCGGGATTGGTTACATGTCACCTGCAACTAGGCAACCTGTGTTTTCTTTTTCATTTCTTTTTATTCTACTATATATCATCCACCTTTAAGATAATTAGAACTGAACAAAGTTGACAGCTTGTTTATGGGTATTTTCATTTTCTGGTTGTCGATTGGCCCCCCGACATGCGCTGCGATCCATGGAAAATTCCAACGTTGGTGGTAGGTAGCCCGACACGTCATCCGCTGCCCTCTTTAAGAGGCTTGGCGCACTCCTCTTCTCTTTCAGACCCAACAAAAGTACTTGACCACACTGCACTACAAGTTTAGCTGGCATGAGCTGGGTAAAGGTGACCAACGGACAGATTCCCCCCAACGCGCTGGTGGCCGGCTACGAGGCCGACGGGACGGCGCTCTACGTGGCGCGCGCCGAGCACGAGGGTGGTCAGCACCCGGGCAAGACCTCCAAGCCGCTCGGGGCCATCCACTTCGGCTGGGGTGGCAAGGAGGTGACCAAGAGCGACTACGAAGTGCTCTGCTGCAACCCGCGCCAGCTCGCCTGCGTACGTCGTGCGATGTGTGTATGTGTGTGTTGTGTGTGTCGTGCTGTGGCTCACAGAACACGCACACCGTGTAGGTGCACTGGGTGAAGTTGGAGCGGGGACAGCAGATGCCCGAGAAGGCGTGGATCGGCGGCAAGGAGCGTGACGGCCACGGCCTGTGCATCGCCCGCGGCAAGGTCCACGGCGGCGTCCACGTCGGCAAGGCCGGTGCGTGTCCCCGCAGCAGCTCACGCATACCACGACGCAGCGTTCTCATGGAATGCTTGGAATGTGTGTTGCTTTGCTGGTGTGGTGTGGAATGCAGGGAACCACCTGAGGGACGGGATGATGTTGTCGTACGGTGGCGAGGAGCACACCGTCGCGCCGTACGAGGTCCTCACGTTCGAGGATCGGCTGGCCTAAAGCTACTCTGGCCCCAGCCTCGTATCATCACCGCACACACCATCGCACACGCCGCACACGTTAAAGGAAACAAGGACGCGGCCTGTTCGCTTCTGATGATGCGAGGAAAACCAAAAAAATACAAGAAAACAGTGTGCAGTAAATAAATAATAAAAATGATTGGAGCACCAACAAAGGGCCTTGATTAGACGGACTGGGCGGTGGGCCAGTCGTAGGCGTTGAGAATGGCGCGCGCGTCGATTACGCACTGGAAGGGCTCGGCGCCCACGGGCCACACGATCGTGCCCGCTGCCCTCGAGCGAGCCGTCGGGTCCTGGAAATCAAGGGTTGGTTGGAGAGTGAGTGACGGGCCGACTGAAGGGGGGGAGGGTCGTAAGGCTTGCGAGAGCGAACCTTGGTGCCTCGCCAGTCGACGGGCATGTTGTTGACGATCTTGAGGAGGTCGTAGTAGAGATAGGACAGGTCGTCCCTCTGTCGCACGCGATAGAGGATCTCCGGCACCACGAAACCTGCGGCCATGTCGCGATGTGCGCAGGTTGTTAGCGAAGAAAAGCGAAAGAGAACGAAAGAAAGAACGAAAATGAAGAAGACGGCAGGCAGTGGCGTACTCTTGTCCATGAGGTTGGGGTACTCGGTGGAGCTGCCCGTGGTGACCATCTCGATGATGCCGCACGAATCGTCGCACACGCCTGCGGCATTCCACACATTCCTCGCATTTCAGTCATACACTCGACATACGCGCAGGAGTTCAGAAATGTCTACCGGAAACGCCGTAGCCGTCGTCCCACAGCTCGTTCTTGACGGCCGTCTGGATGAGGATGTCACGGAGCGCGCTCATGTAGAGAATGGCATTGACGCCCTGGCTGCCGGTGATGTTGGGTCCGTTGAGCGTGCCCACCCAGCTCTCCAGCAACCACATGTTGCCTGTTGCGGTATCGCACACACACCACACAAGACGAGCTGTTTAGCTCACTGCTTTTGTTGTTGGGGGCGGGCACGTGGGCGCATACCGGGGAAGAAGCCGATGCCGTCGTCGCCCTCGTACCAGACCACGTTGAAGTTGAAGTTGCCCGCACCGAACTCGATCACGTACTCCTGCGAACAGGAAAAAGAATGGGTGGTGTGGTGTGGTGTGGTGTGAGCCGTCATTGTGGTGTGTTTGTGTGTTTTTTTTGTCGTGTGCGCTTACCGAGTGGATGGCAGGAAGCACGACTTCGTTTTTGCCGGTCGAATCGAAGAGGCCGGTTTGGATCATCACGGGGTCGGCCACCTCGAGCAGATTACCCTGATCGGATTGCCGTTGAAAAACAATGTGAGTCGTGTGTCGTGTGTCGTCACTCACAACTTGCATTGTCATTCGCTTAATTAATGGCCAAATATAAATACCTGCTTGTCTTGCATGTAGAGGCCATAGAACGCCGCAATACGCTTGGTGAGGTAGGTGTTCAGGCTGGCTTGGTTCTGTTAACGTGGAAGGTGGCGTCGTCACGACGGTAAGAAAGAAGAACGAAGAAAAAACGAAACACGATGGGTCGTGGCAGCAACAGAGGCGCCAAAGAAGAAAGGTGCGATCAATATCGGGATAACGTACGTCGGCCAGAAGAGCGTTCAAGAACGTGTCGATGCGCGAGTAGGACTGGCCCTTGACCTTGACAACGAACCAGTTCTGCACGAGCGCACCGGGTTATGGAGGGACTCCGAGACCACATACAACGGGGAGGGACGTACGGGGTCGGTGGGCTTAAGGTGGTGGTTGTCGGACAGTTGGTTGAGAATGAAGGAGGTGAGGAAGTTAATCTTGGCCTGCTCGAGCGTGGTCGTCTCGGGCATGAAGAAACCGAACCAGACCTGCGTTGTGGTGTTGTATTAGTGTGTGTGTGTCGTGTGTGTCGTGTGTGTCGTGTGGTCATGTGTGCTGTGCGTGTCGTGCGGTGCGCACCGAGGAGTTGGGGGTGAGGGGCGAGATGCTCGGGAGGTAAGGCGTGACGTTGAAGGCAAATGTGGTCAGCTCGTCCGGGAAGTTGAAGCCCGACGGCACACTGCGCGCACCACAAACGTTCACACAACGCTTTCGTCAGTGAACTATATTCCAACTCTCTGTATCGCATTCCCCAGCCCGCTCGCGAGCGAGGGCACAGCTAGTCCGTACCGGAAGGCGGTCTGGTTGCTGGGCGGCATGACGTAGTTCAGGCCGGCCCACAGCTGGTGCAACAGACGCGGCGAGCCCTAGGTTTGCGTACAAAAGCGACAAAGTCAGCTAAAGAACCTGAGGCCCGCGACCAAGCCAGCACGCAAGCCGCGGCAACCTTGAAGTAGTTGAGCAGCAGCGAGCTGTCGCTCAGGATAAGCTTCAACGTGTCTTCGGGAATGTTGATACCTGTACACAGTCGCGGGCGGGGGCATGACCACCACAATGTCAGGAATGCACACCACAACGCCACGAGAGCGTTTCTCGCATGGTGGGCCAGTGGTGGAACGGACCGGTCTTGCTCTGGATGAGTTCGATGACGATTTGGAGTGCCTCGGGGCCTCCGGGAAGCGTGGGCAGGCTCTCCAGGAACTCGGGCAGCGAGACCGCCTTGGGGTAGCGCCCGGGGATCAACGAGAACAGGCTCTTGTTACTGCGCGTGCGGTGGTGCGTGTGCGACCATCATCAGTACTCTATGTACATGCGAGATGGCATGCAGGCGGTACTCTCGAGGTGGTGGTGGTGGTACGTACTCGTCCGAGCCTGACTCGGGTGCGATGAATCGGGCGGCGAGAGCCTCCTCGGCCTCGCGAAGAGGGTCCACGAGGGAGTTCACCTTCTCTCGGATGCGCTCCAGGCGCTCCTGCTCTTTATCTGCAAGCCCCAAAAACAATGTTTTGTGCGAGATGAGATGAAATAGAGATGAATTTCATAGAGTAGGCCCATTTATTGCTGAATGCAAAAGATGGAATCAAAGAGAGAAATTGGGGGGGGGTACCGATGGCAGAGGAGCAGAAGGCGCCAACAATCAGGAGGCAAAGCAGAAGTGGTACGCTGCCAGCTGCAGCACGCGGGCCGTACATCTTGGGTGCTTGCGTTGAGTTGCCAAAACGCAAAACCACTACAAAAGCTCTCTCCCTCTCGGCCCCGAAATTACCGCCACCTGTTCTATCGCTATTTCTGGGGCCTTTTCTCTCTCTTTTTCCACGGCTTGCGACGACCAGGCACACCACCCAAGGTACAGCTCCCCCCTCCCCAAGCTGAATGAAACACACGACGGTGTGAAGAGAATTTGCAACCGCTAGAGGTTATATCTTACAAAAGAACGACGTGCACAGCCACGTAACCTCCAGCACGCGTCTTGAGGAAAGCTCTTGTCCTTCTCTCGCGTCACATTGCACCTCGATCGTGCAGTGCAATACACCGCCTTAAATACCTCCGTCCATGCCGTTGACCCCCATGATGATGATGTCCTTCACCGCGTCGAACACCACCTCGATGTTTGCTGATTCCCAGAGACGACATTGGTATTGGCGGTGAGTCTACGCAGAGCAAACTTTCACTCAGCCCAAAGTTTGGCGGCGTACATGTGTCGGTGGCGCAGGTGCAGTGGAAGTAGAGCTCCTTTCGCACGTTCTCGTTGTGCTTGAACTTCTCCTTGATGT